TACGGTTATGTATATGTATATGCATATATATATGTATGTATATCTATCTATCAATCTATCTATCTATCTATCTATCTATCTCTCTATCTATATATATATATATATATATATATATATATATATATGTATGTATAATTTACATACATACATACATATATATATATATATATATATATATATATATATATATATATACATATGTATATAATATATTCATATATGTATATATATATATATTATATATATATATATATATATATATATATATATATATTTACATATATTCATATACGTATATATATGAATGTAACACACACAACACACACACACCACACACACACACACACACACACACACACACACACACACAACACACACACACACACACACACACACACAGACACACACACACACACACACACACACACAACACATACACACACACACCAAATAATATATATATATATATATAATATATATATATATATATATTATATATATACATATATATATATATATATATTCATGTATCTTATTTACATATATGTATACTTATACTGTGTTTATATATATGTATATACATAATTTAATATATATATATATATATATATATTATATATATAATAATGTATATGTATATGTATATATATATAATATATATATTTTATAATATATATAACATATATCGTATATCTATATTTACATATATATTCATACATACACACACACACACACACACACACACACACACACACACACACACATATATATTATATTATATATATATATATATATATATATATATATATATATATATATATAATATATATATATATATATATATATATATATATATATATATATATATATATATATATATATACGTTATGTGTGTGTGTGTGTGTGTGTGTGTGTGTGTGTGTGTGTGTGTGTGTGTGTGTGTGTGTGTGTGTGTGTGTGTGTGTGTGTGTAAATTTGAGAGGAGAGAGAGCACGCGCGCGCGAGAGAGAGGGGGGGTGAGTGCGAGCATGTTTGCTTCTTTCTCCATACGCATATAAATAGCCCCATATTCATATTCCTCGTTTATTCGTACTTCATCTGTTATCTGCCATTTGTGCGTGTAACAAGGGAGACGGAGGGAGGGGGATGAAAGGCGAGAAAAGCCGAAGGGAAGGAGAGAAAAGGGAGAACGGCGCCCATCGCCATTCTGGCCGTCGATTATTGACTTCCATGAACTTGGCTTTTTGTTCGGAGAATAGTCTGGAGGGGGGTGGGGGTGGGGGGGGCGAGGAACGTGTCCCATGCTGAGAGGTCGACTTGGTTCACAATGGCACTGACCAAGGGCTAGAAACACACACACACACGCACACACAAGACCATGCCATCACAAAAAGCACGCATTTAAGGCCATAACCGCTCTCAGATATATAAATATGTGCATACAAACATCTGCATTCTCGCAGCTAAGTATACAGTTAACCTTCCAAACAGACCAACCTGCACACAAGCATTACACTGATTTGTATTGATAATATCAGCATCTGGCTTGAGAAATCGGCCATTAATCTTATATTCCCGCTGCGATAATTAATTTTCTAAAGTTTCCCTTAAATAGTTGATTAACTCGATTCACCGTTTTCCCTCAAATTCTATGCCTCTTACGCCAACATTCATCTCCATGGACAATTTCCTCCTTTATAAACAAAGGCCGGCGACCCTCTCTTTGAATCGAAGTCATTACAGCAACCAGAATCTATTTGTGGAGAGAATGACACAAAGAAAACGGAATGATAGGCGAAATGGAAGACAATGGCGATAACCACAGGGTAAGTGACAAGATAAAAAGGCGCGTCACAGAAAACGGGAAGAGGAACAAAAAGGACAGAAAACGGGAACCGAGGACATGGAAAAGGCATTGGGTTTTCTTTTTGTCTCTCTTCTCCTTTTAAAGAAAATTCTCTCTCTCACCTCTTTCCCTTTTCCTCTCCCTCTTCTTACTCTCTCTCCGCACTTCCCCCTCTTTCCCTCTTCTTATTAGTATAATTATTCTCTTTTCCTCTCTTTTTTATCTCTCACTCTCTTTCCCTCCTCTCCCTATTTCTTCTCTTTGTCTTTCCCTCTCCATCTCTTTCCTTCTCCCTCCTCCACTGTCTCTTCCTCTCTCTCCCATCCCTCTCCCTCTCCTTCTATCTCCCCTCTCCTTCTCCCTCCCTCTGTCTCTCACTCCCTCTCCCTCCCCTCATGGACCGCCCGCGCCCACACGGCCACGTGGCTCGCAAACGGACCGGAAAACAGGAGATCGCGTGACGCGTCGAGACGGACAGGTGGAGGAGGCGAGGGAGACGGGAGATGCAGCCAGCGATAGAGAATGAGATACAGGGAGACAAACAGACACAGTGGTCCATACCTGGCCCTCATAATCTCGAAGACAGCTGATAAAACGTTTTTCATTTGACTGATAGATTGCGGTAATGCATAATATGGTTCTTCGTGAGAAAGTGCTTGTTTTGCTAACTTGTCTACGTTGTCACAGGTTGATATTCCTATATGAGAAGGTATCCAGTATAGTGACACGTATACCCTGCTCGGATAGGCTAGCGATTTGGTGAATGGTATTGATAATTACCATGTTTTCTGGATTAAATGTGTCTATATAGTGCACCCTGACTGTCAGAGAAGACAGCTAGGTGTAGCTGCTGTTCAGTACCCTTTTTAATGGCATAATATATTGCTACTGACTTGTGCTTGTCCAGTTGGAAATTCGCACACTTTCTTGAAGAATAATGTCAGGAATTAGTACACCATTCCCTGCTGCTCCATGAGGATCAGTAGAAGCATCACAGTAGATTGCAAGTGGGGGGTACCCTGAGGGGGGTGGAGAATTTCATCTGTATATTTCAAGTAATGGCCTGTTATGACTCTGTTATTGTAGTAATGGATTTTGGCCCTGTTAATTTACAATATGAACGTTAACATGTGATCTATGCCATGGTGAAGTAAGCGTTGCTTCTGGGATGTTGATAAAATCATTGTTCCACACACTGAAGCTGAGAATAGTCTGGGCAGTCTTGGCCTTCCATTCCAAGTTTGACTTTATGAGATTGGAGTATCGAGGCCGCCGGACATGCCTAACTCTACAATTAATCTCATTAGACAATGCAAGGGAAATATGAGGTTTGGACTGAATCTGCAGAAGTCTGATGCCGAGTATGGTGTTGACTTGGGTAATACGGCTGTGAACTGACGGGAGATCAAGCTCTTTCCTCATGACAAGAACTTTAGCAGTTATTGGGCAACCCAAAATGACTCTCATGGCCTTGTTCTGCAAGATTTCAAGGGGTCTGAAAACATTTTGTGGCAACATACTAAGAACCGGGCTCGCATAGTCTATCGTGGACCTAACAAGGGAAATGTGCATCAATCTTAGGACTTAGGGAAGCACCAACGTATCTGTTATGTATCGTAAAGGTCTTAAGCGCTCCAGGCAGCATTCCCTGATGTTTTGAACGATTTCCCGAGTGAAGGAATTGCGGGACATGAGGTGGGGAGCAATCACCATAACACCTAAATGCTTATAGGTGTCAGTTTTTGCAATTTGTCCACCCAATCTTGGAATGTATGACAGTTTATGTGATCTGGAAATATACTTAGTCTTGATAAGTTTGATTATGAGTCCAAGGGAAGTGCACTTTTTACTGAATCTCTGAAGAACATACTCCTATCAAATACCTGAATGAGAATGTCATCAGCATAGGATGGGAATAATGGTGGCTTGTTTCCAGGAAGTAGGCAAGATGCCTGTAGAATAGGTTAAGTTGAAGAGATCAAGAAGAGGATTTCTTCCCTGTACCTGTACCTTTGCAAGGAGTCGGATGATGTAAGTGATTCCATCATCCCCAGGTGCAGTGGATTGGCTAGTTTTAGTGGCTGCAAGAAGTTCGTGTCTTGTAAATGGTGCATCAGCCTCATCTAAAATTTGCCACTGATAGTCAATTTCATTTTTGGGTTTTGACAAGGGAGCATCTACGTATGGATGATGGAAGAGAGAGAGAGAGAGAGAGAGAGAGAGAGAGAGAGAGAGAGAGAGAGAGAGAGAGAGAGAGAGAGAGAGAGAGAGAGAGAGAGAGAAAGAGAGAGAGAAGAGAGAGAGAGAGAGAGAGAGAGAGAGAGAGAGAGAGAGAGAGAGAGAGAGAGAGAGAGAAGAGAGAGAGAGAGAGAGGAAAGAGGAGGGAGGGAGAGAGAGGGGGGGAAGCAAGAGGAGAGAGAGAAAGGAGAGAGAGAGCAGAAGAGAGAGAGAGAAGAGAGGAGAGAGAGAGAGAGAGAGAGAGAGAGAGAAGAGAGAGAGAGAGAGAGGAGGAGAGAGAGAGGAGAGAAGAGAGGGAGGGAGGGAGAGAGAGGGGGGAAGCATGAGGGAAGAGAGAAGAGAGAGAGCGAGAGAGAGGGGGGGAGGAGGAAGAGGAGAGAGAGAGAGAGAGGAAGGGAGGAGGAGAGAGAGAGGGGGGAGCAATGAGGGAGAGAGAGAGAGAGAGAGAGAGAGAGAGAGAGGAGAGAGAGAGAGAGAGAGAGAGAGAGAGAGAGAGAGGAGAGGAGGGAGGAGAGAGAGGGGGAAGCAATGAGGAGGAGAGAAAGAGAGAGAGAAAGAGAGAGAGAGAGAGAGAGAGAGAGGGGGGGGAGGGGGCTATAATAAGGGAGAGAGAGAGAGGGGGGGGGAGAGAGGGGGCTATAATAAGGGAGAGAGAGGGGGGGGGGGATATAACGAGGAAGAGAGACCAGCGGGCGCCCGGCGAGCGAGGCAGCCTCCGCCGGCGCCTCCGGGGCAGCGCCGTGATTAAGGCGTCTTTGTCTGTCGCCCAACATCTCGGCCATTAATGATGCATTATCCCTCGCTTCCTGCGGCTACAAAGCCTAAAAAGATTCGTTAGACAATGGCCGTGTAATGCCCGGCCGGCGGGGGCGGGGCGGCGCCGGACGCTCGGCTCAGTGCGGTCTTGAGCCGCTCGATGGGCGCCGCCTCGGGAGAGGGCCTGAGCCGCCCCTCGGAGAGAGGGCCTGGGACGCCGCCCCTCGGGGAGAGGGCCTGGGACGCCGCCCTCGGAGAGAGGCCTGGGACGCCCGGCCCTCGGAGAGAGGGCCTGGGACCTCCCCTCGGAGAGAGGGCCTGGGACGCTGAGAGGGCCTGGGGGCCGCCCCTCGGGAGAGAGACGCCGCCCCTCGAGGGCCTGGGACCCGCCCCTCGCGCGCCCTCGGAGAGGGCCTGGGGACGCCGCCCCTCGGAGAGAGGGCCTGGGACGCCCCCTGGGCTCCGGAGAGGGCCTGGAGACGCCGCCCCTCGGAGAGAGGGCCTGGGACGCCTCCCCTCGGAGAGAGGGCCTGGGACGCCGCCCCTCGGAGAGAGGGCCTGGGACGCCTCCCCTCGGAGAGAGGGCCTGGGACGCCTCCCCTCGGAGAGAGGGCCTGGGACGCGCCCCGGAGAGGGCCTGGGACGCCTCCCTCGAAGAGGGCCTGGGACGCCGCCCTCGGAGAGGGCCTGGACGCCTCCCCTCGGAGAGAGGGCCTGGACGCCGCCCTCGGAGAGAGGGCCTGGGACGCCTGCAG